AAAAGTCAGGTCACTAGTTAGTCCCCTGCCCCCCTCCTTGCTGCTTTTTGTTAAAGTATGCTTATAGCAGCTTCCCGTCCGTTTGCCCGCCCGTGCTGGGCAGTGCCAAGACTAAACTTTTAAACCTTGAGGAAGGTGGAGAAGTCAGCCAGCCAGAGGCTGGGCTAGGAAAAGTGGAGAGAAGTAGGGAAAGAGTCAAGTTTCAAAACAAAGGCTCCACACGGAACTGGACGTCAACCCCTCCCCACTTCCTAGCCTTAAAGCCAGCTAGGCTGGGCCTTGATTTTTCAAGACCCTAATAAACCAGATTACCCAGCTCTTGAGCGCTCACCAGGGTTTTGTTATGTACTAGAACATTTTGCACAACCACTTGCTGAGGGTGGTGCCATCCTCTCTCCCCCATCTTACAATGTAAAAAAATGAGGCTTGGAATCTAAGTGCCTCTCCGAAGGAACCAGAGAAGAGCCTAAATTCCATTCTCCGCACGGCCAGGACAGGCCAGCACAAGGCGGGCTCCGAGCAAGAACCCGGCCGCCGAAATGACGGCTACCCTGCCTGGAGAGAACTCCGGCCGGGAGAGGGGAGGCGCCCGCGCGCCTCACGCCCCGGGCCCTACCTTCCTTGACTCCCGGCAGCTTGGACTGGTCGATGCTGACTTCAGCCATGTTGGGCCGGGGTCCCGGCCGCCGCCCGCACCGAGCGCGGCCCCGCGCGCGCAGCAGCAGCGCCCGAGGCGGCGCAAAGTCCGGCCGGCGGCGCGCACCGCCCCGGGCAGGGAGTGGGTGGCCGGGGGAGGGCTGGCGGCAGGGGCGACGGGAAACCGGCTCCGGCACGCCAGGCTGGCGGCCCAGCTGCCCGGCCACTGCCACCTGCTCCCGCGCCCCTCGGCCCAGATCGATACCAAATATCCGAGGCCGGAAATGGGCCCGGGCCGTCCAGTACGGAGGGAGAGAGGAGACAGAAAGGCGGGCGGGCAGGCGGGCCTGGTGGGGAGGCGGGGGGCGGGGAGCGGCAGGTCTGCAGCCGCAATTGCCAGCGGCTGGCAAGCTCGGATCCGCTCCCGCGGCCGCCTCCTGCTGTCTCTTTGGTGCCGCGTGACGCGCCCGAGGCTGGGGCCCCGCTCTGCCCCCGCCCCCAGGCCCGGCCTCCTCGCAGCCGAGGGTCGCCGCTCTCCAGAGGCTTTGTGTCCCGAAGTCCTTAACAAAAGGGCTGCACGGGTCACCCAGAACATAATCGTTTCTGTCGCCGGTGTATTGAGCGTTCTGCGCTCTGGTTCTCAGGCGGAGATTTCCACAGGATGCCTCCTGTTGCCTGGCTGTCTCACGCACTCTTTGCCTCCCGAGATTAGAGGAAACATAACATATGGGCATGAAAAACCTCTAACACAACGTACGGAACTAGAGAACAGCTGACAAAAATCTGGGCCAGTTTAGACAAGAGAGTATTCACAACCAGCTGGGAGAACTGACTCATCCATTCATCAAAAACGCATGAATGTTTCTCTACCAAGTTGTGATGTTAGGTATTAGGGATAAAACGTGTGTTAGACCTATCTCTTTTATGGCATGTCATGCATTGGACTGTTAGTGTGACATTTTTTATCTCCCCAAAATAGACAACATCTCCTGTCTGCATTTCCTGGCAACAGAATTCTCCCTTCTTCTGAGAAACACTCCTCAGCTCTCCCTGACATGTGCAGTCATGGAACCTGGCCACCACCATTCTTCCTCCCTTCTCCGCCCACACGTGTTCATCCAAAGACGGTGTGTGGCCAAGACAAGTCCCGCAGAATACTTCCTTGGGACTCCTACAAAAGGAGGGACAGATACTTTCTATTTCTTGTGGTCAGTTGCCCTCCCTAGTAAACAATGAAGGCAAACTGAAGACAGAAGCAATGATAAGAAAAGAAGTGAGGAGGGCATGTTCCGATGTTACCAGGAGGTTTCTGGAACAGCTGGGCTTCCTGCAGCTCCCTGGTTCTGGGATCTACTCCTAGCATTTCTCAATTTAAGCTAATAATTTTACTGTCTTAAGCTTGTAAATGTAACTTTTCTGTCACTCACAACTCATAGTCCCAGTATGAGAGGCCACATAGAGGAGATACTATTTGAACTTGACACTGAAAATAATAGAAGACTTTAGGCTTCAAAAATTTAGGAGACGTTTCTAGGACAGAGATTGGCAACCTATGGCCCACAAACCAAATCCAGCTGATTTGAATGGATCTGAATAACTGTTTTTTATATATTTATATACATTTTAAGTGGTTGTATAAATACAATGTAAAATTTTCCATGTTGCCTCTTAGGTCTCAAAGTCCAAAATATTGGACCCTTTTCAGAAAAAGTTTTCCAACCCCTAGGAAGAACACCCAGGAAGTTAAATATGTGGATACAAAGGAGGTGATATCAGAAAGGTAGTTTTGGGGGGGATTTTTAAGTTCCCTGCCTTCTATAGTTAATTTTTTAAATTTCCTGTGGTCATAGACAATATTTATAATTGCAGTACTTGCTGTTTTTTTCTCCAAATCCATTGTCTCCACTTCTCTGCCACACTTTGCCCTGGGAGGCCAATGTTAATGAATATATATATCCCCAGGGCCTCATACACTTGTGCTTTCTATTGAGTTCAACCAAAGTGAAGTAATAGCAGAAAATCAAAAGATGGGAGGACAGAAATACCTGGGCAAGAATTACACTCTCCTCCCCCTTATGCTAGACCAAAAATTTGGCCATGTTGTATCCCTCTGACTAGGATGCCTGTTTAGAGGCCTGTTTTCTTGGCTCCAAGTCCCATGGGTCTCTAATAATACCATTTCCTTCCACTGCCACTTTAGATGTGGGATGATAATGACTTCCTTCTGTTGCTAGTTCCCTTAACCCATACTCACACCTCTGTAAATAATCTCTTCATTATATTCTTTTCAGTTAAACTATTTTGAGTGTAGCTTGTTTCCTGCCTTAACTCTGACTGATATGGTAACATATGCCAAAGGGTTACTGCTTTGTTTTCCTTAAAAAATATTCACATTTCTGCCCTATAGAAAAATGAAAAATATATATACAAAGCCATACCTGTTGTTTAGGGAATTAGCTGCCTTCAACCGAAAAAGTAATGAAAAGTGGCCAGGGGTCACATCCAGTTGATGGAGCAGATGATCTGGATTCTCCAAATAGTCTGGCTTTTCTTCTCTAATTCCACCCTTACTCTGTATCTGCTCCAACCTGAGCAAATACTTAGAGCTCAGGGTTATAAGACCAGCACCTTCCAACATGTGACAGAGAACAACATAGGTAATACTTAAATATCTTTTGAGTATTTATTTAATAGGAAATGAATGTATGGCAAATTCCTGTAACAAGTTTATATCTTTTAGCATCTTAAAATGCCAGTTTTGAGGTAAAAAGAATCAAAGGATAGGCTTCCCAGAGGGAGTACAAATCCGTAATTTTCAGCAGGTCTCAAACAAGTAATTCAGGGCTAAATCACAACTTAAATGCCACAGGGAGAAATAGGATTTATTTATAAGCCAGTATGGAACTGGTAACTGATTTGGTTCTTTTAGATGGAGAGTTATATAATTTTTACTTTGAGAAGGTAATTGGGAATAATAAAGATGTGGATTGGACTGGGGCGAGTTTGGTCATAAGAACTCCAGTAAGAAGATTAAAAACTTTGAGAAACATAGATAGTAAGCTCCATGAGGGTAGGGATTTTGAACATGTTGAATTCACTGTTATACCTAACATCTAGGATAGTACTTGGCAAGTAATAGGCACTCAATAATCATTTGAATAAAAAATAATGAACATAGTTAACCAACTCTATTACCAGTAAGAATCACAAATTAAAGGCTAACAGAAAGTGATATGGTCAAGTAACAAATGATACTGGACCTTTACAAGACCAGAAAGGGGACCCACAGAGTGACACATGGCCCTGGAAAGACCTTTCCCTCTTCTTGACACCAAATGCTTCCTACCTCACCACCATACTCTAAGAAAGCACTTCCCAAAAAGCAGCTGTAATTAGAATTGGTTTTCCAACTTCACCAAGGAGACAGTGTTAGTTTAGTAGGGCCACCATAACAAGATACTATGGCCTGAGTGACTTAAACAGCAGAAATTCATTTTCTCACACTTCTGGAGATTGGAAATCCAAGATCAAAGTGTTGACACATTGGGTTGCTTCTGAGCCCTCTCCTTGGCTTACAGAGGGCCACATTCTCACTGAAACCCAGGTGTCACCTAGGGAATTGGTTTTCCAGCAGCCCTCAAAATTAGTGACTGTATCTTCTCACACATCCTATACAGCACTGTACCTGGAGGTGCGTGGTTGTATTATTTTTTTTCTTATTGTCTCTCCTAGAACATATTTATCTCCTCTTCTTAAATATGTCTAGCTTCTTTGATGCTCATACCCGACTCTTACAACTCACTATATTTCCTTATGGCAATTATCTGCACACCTCTGGGTAACTTCTTGTTCCTTAAAGATGATAGTTTCTTTCTGCTGTGCCCATTATCACATAACTTGGTGATTTCAATGTCTATAAAGGCAGTCCTTCTCATAATCTGATCTCTCTTTCCTTGACTAGGATCCTTCCAGTGATTTTTATGCCCCTCCCCATCTCAGCCAAATGTTCCCCAGGTCACTCGCTAGAATCTGTCATTACTAAAAACTGTGATCCTTCGTTAGTCTCAAACCCCATTCTTCACCTACCATTTCTATCTCTCCAACTCAGTCCTACTAATATCTCAACCTGAGCAATCCTTCAACACCACCAGAGCCCATAATTTATTTGCTCTACCACCTTGTTTTGATTCTCACCTGACGCTATGCTCCTACTTTCTTCTTCACGAGTTTCAAGTCTATGACCTATTTTTATAATCACTCACTACAAGATACTTTCAGTTTCTTTGCATCTGTCTTGCTCTGACCTACTTGCATGGCAGTTTCCCAACCAAGGTTAATCTACTATAAATTCTGCATATCACCTAGATCAATTCATTTCCTATTCCTTTGGACTCCAATTGCATACCTTCTTATCTCATAACTACAAGGTCCCTTGCAGATCCTTACTCTTAGTTTCTTGGGCTACTGAGAAAATAAAAGCATTGAAAAGAAGACTCCCAATCTCAACTTTTCCAAATCTATCAACCTGCCTGCCTATTTCTCCTAAGACTAACACCTCCACAGTGCACTGAATCCTTGGATGATAAGCAAAACACATAATAATAAGAATGGCAGATGTACAAACATAGCACCAGAGCAGGCTGTGATTCTTCCTCCTGTTCCAGGTGTTACTATCTTGTTTCTGGATGGTGGGAGGTCTAGGGTGTCCTAAGGGGAAGGAGGCATAATCTAGGTGAAGTTGGGGGCATTCAGAGGGCTCAGGACAGCATTAAATTACAAACCAGTGTGAAAGTATTACTATTTTAATGTTCATTATGTCTGTGGTTGTACATATCTGCTGAATAACAGTCCTGATCAGATCTCATCCTCTCACTTTCTCAAGGATATTACTCCCAAAATAATCTCTCCACTGCATTGTGTCATTTTCATCTCTGATAAATACTTTACAATAACATTCAAACATGCTATAATTCCTCCGCCTTAACAAAAACTTCCTTTGGTCTAAAATTCCCCATCAGCTATTAATATATTTTTTGCTCCTGTTTGTAGGAAACCTCCTTGAAATATTCATCTATTTTATGATCTCCACTTCCTACTTTCTCTATCTTTTCTGAACCCATTCTGATTATAGGCCAATGCTCTAAAATGAAATGTTTATAAGCATTAATAATGACATCCATGTTGCCAAATCCAGGGTCAGTTCTCAGCCCTCCTCTTATTGGCTGATTGTTACCACTTAATAGATATGATCCTACCCTCCTTCTTCATATATATATTGGCTTATCTCATTTATCTTTCCAAGGGCCTTTTTACTTAAATGGTCCATTTTTCTCGAAAGCCCTCTTTCCCCCACCCCACTCTATGGCAAATAAACCCATGATGTGTGCTTCCAATTTTGTTCAGGCATCTGCTCAAATGCCACCTTTTCAGAGAGACCTTCTCTGACTTTATCTAAAATAGTAGTTGAATCCCTGTCGTCCCACACCTTGCCCAGTTGTTTTTTTCTCTCCAAGTCAATTATCTTGCAGGCATTATATGTTTAAATGTTTATTATGTCTATCCAAACTACCAAGAGGATTGAAACTTTGTCTAAGTGGATTACTACTGTGTCATGTACTTCATACTGTAACTACTACTACTTTATTCTTTTATAATAGAATAGTGTTAGCA